AAATAATATAAAAATCAAATTCAAGCATCAGTCCTGCAACAGCCGATGAAAGTTCGATTATACCGACACTGGTTTAATATTTGATTCTTGACATTATGGTATTCTTGGGAGATGCTGTAGTTAGCGTCAAACCACTTGTTTGATGAAAGGTACACATGTTAAATATGGTTCAATGAATCCACGAAGCATCTGACTTTGATGTCTACAACTGCTTACTGCTCGTTCAGTTAGTTTCTGGAATTCCCTTCCTATCAAAATTCGACATTCTTCATCCTTATCTACATTCAAAACCCTACTATTCCAATTCCTGTCCCAAAAACAGTCAGATACGAGCTAACCTTTTATGTAAAATTACATATTATTTATAATAACATATTCATATATAGCTCATAACCTAAATACTTATTATAGATTCGACTTTCTTTTTTCTTTTTTTTTTCAACAGTAACACAGATTTTACTGTTAAGAAGAATTTACATTTATTTTTTCTGTATTTTTTATTTTTTCTAAAAGGGTTTATTTATATTTTAACATTGTACATAGTTTTAAGTATCTTAGTATGGTTTCAATCTTAGTATTGGTTTAACTTTTTATGTTTGCTTTTATCTGGCCAGATATAAAATTTTAATTTCTGTACTTTTTTGTTATTCTGAAGGGACTTCGTCCCAGAGTAAAATTATTTTTCTATTCTATTCTATTCTACAAGTTTGAGGTTTTGTTGGACTTTGAAGCCCAGAACAGTCTTAATCACTCTTCTCTTCGTAATCAGTCTTAACCACAAGTTATATTAGGACACTTAAAACCGGTTGCGTGGAGATAAGTGGTTAAGGGTGTACATAGGTAATCGTCACAAAATTCTTCTGCACATTGTGGAAGCAGAACCGCCATATCCTCACGACTTTTAATCTCGGTCCTTACAAACTCAAATAATTTTCTGTATTAATATGATTCTGTATTAATATTTCTATACCTAATTTTAATGGATCAAAGCCGCACGATATTATTTCTAATTATAAATATGGTGGGAAAACGCCATGACTGTTTAAAATGCTATGACTGTTCAGATTGCAATGTTGTTGTTTGTATCACATACCTGATCAAGCTAATTATAAAGGATATTAACTTCTTTTTTTTTCATAAAAAAGTTTTATCTCAATCTACTACAAGGCTATTAACATCCTCCATTAAACGTTCTTATTTTCTCCTCCAGCCCGCTTAGGAAGATGTATAATCCAGGAAGAAGCCTCGTGTGTTTTATGAGCCGAGATAAAGGCAGCCGAAGAGCTCGGTTTCAGCATAAAGCTTCAACCCCTTTTATACTCTGAGGCAGGAGGTTTATATAATGTATGTGTTCTATGCTCACTCCATCAGGTATCGCAGCCAATTGCGTATGTGTATAATCGCACTGTATCAGCGCACTAGTCCCCTCAGCTTCAATCCAATAAATCTCTGTAAGAACAGAAATGACTGCAATTTAACAATAATTGCTCTGAACTTTAATATTTCAAACAGGATTCTGTTTAGCACCGTAGTTCGAAAACCTCAGGCTGTTCTCCTCAAGGCCCCAATGTAATATTTAACTAGGCTCATTTTATTTTATTTTTTGTTACCACTTCTATCGCCATATCGATTGTTTACTGGATAATATTTCAGAGTGTTTACTCAGGTGTTGGCATAAGTAATATTCAGAACGGTCAGTGGTTTTTTTTTTTTATTATTATTAAATAAAATGAGATCTTACTAGATTAGAGATTTCCTTTCATAACAATTTAAAATATTAATACAAGGTTAAAGCCGAAAAGGCAACCAATCTCTATAGCAAAGCAATTTTCAATGATTGATGATAATTGGCGACAACATAATATACATGGTCTCCCGTAAGTAGGCAAAAATATTTAAAGGGGTGATAGTAGGTCTCTATAGATACTAAAACGTTTATACAAACCATGGTTCGATTTCCAGTAGGAAATTGATGTTTTGTGTTTTTTTTTAGTTAGTAACGTTTTTTGATGTTTTTGTAGGACAAAAAACTATAACAAAAAAGTATTTGATGCAGGTAATTTAAATTTACTTCAAAGTAAACTAAACCAAACTAGACAAAATTTTCATCAGAAAGAAAAGGAGTGATTCTTGCTAAGACAAATTAAAGGACACTTTTAAGCGGCTAATCTATGCAACATTCTGTTTTAATTAAAATCATGGATGGTCCATATATTTTTTTCATCACTCTACTACAGTACAACATACACCCCAATTTCGTAAAATCTTTTTTAGTTAACTTGAGGTTTATTGCCGAAATAAGATGAGATTCATCTCTAGTTGCATAAAAAAATATGCGATTTGATATTGTCAACAAAAAGTAGCTTTATATTGTTCTTTGACATGTAATGTAATAAATTGATTACAAAAATAAAATTTGTATTTATATAAAAATATTGCAGTTCATTAGGCCTACTATAACACTGTTAAATATTTCCCTTAAAACTTATGGTACGCAATATATATATTTAATTGTGCCAACGTTATGTTGTTATAAAGTTAATTAGCTAATGGTTTTCAAATGATGGTATTTGAAATGTTAATTGAAGATTTAATATTGAGTCATTATCATAATGATTTTCCGCCGATCAATAATATGGCCTAAACGAGTAGGTATTAGCATTGTATGTTTCCAATTCAAATTCTCTTCTACTTAACCTTAAACGATCCAAATATCTTTTTTAAAACCCTATATAAGTTCATATTCCGTATAGGTAACGTACTAGCTGCTCTCCGAGATTTCATATTTCAATTGATTAATTGAATAACAACTAATATTAACATGAAAAATGGTTCATTGAATATTTAAAAAAATAATTATTAAAAACTAAAATTTAAAAAATAAAAATTAAATTATTTCAACGCATATTTATAGATCTTTCTCTCAACACTTTAAATACATAGTGATTGTCTTCCTAAGGGAAAAGCAGGTGATGTTTGTCAAGTCTAGTCCAATTTACTTAAAAGTTTGCCTAGGCGTTTAGTTTTCCAGATTGATTGACATTTCCAGTTACTGCTCCGCACTAGCGGATCCAGGATTTAATTTTGGAGGGGGCTTCAGCCCGAAAGCTTTTTTTTCATAAAAATAACGATAATTACTTTGGAAAAACAGAAAGAAATAACTACCTATATGAAATAGTGTTTAAGTGATTCCTTAAGTCCTTTTAAATGTAATTACACGACCAATAATACTTTAAGAGATATTTTTTAATTTTTTTTTTCTAAAAAACATGGTTATATTTTACCATTTTAGGGGGGGGGGCTTCAGCCCGAAAGCCCTCCCCCCGTAGATCCGCCCGTGCTGCTCCGTTCTTATGGGTCGAAGCGTGATGTTAAGCCTCAAAGCCTTTCTAAAAAAAAAGAGTTTTCTAACTATCTAAGTCTAACGCAAAAAGAAATTCCAAATCGGGCTAGAAGTTTCTGAAATAAGCTCGTCCAAACAAACCCAATCTTCAACTTTAAGCTTAAATTAAAGACCCGTAAAATATTGCAACATGGGCGTAGGTGAAGAAGCTTCCTCCCTTCCCTCCTTAAACTTTGAAAAAATTGAAATAAAATGGCTACCAATATAAACTATGAATTTCAGAACGTGTCCGTTTGATTATTGGCATTTCGCCAATAGTATTTTGAAAGAAATACTATAAAAAATATAAATTAACCTCCCCTGTTTCGGATTTCAACAGACTAAGTTCTTGTTACAGAATGTATTAAATTATTATAGGTGATTCACTTCACAGGAATCATGAATAAAACTCGATTGCTTTCATTTTCCATTCCATATAAAATCAACTATTCATCAATTATTTTCTCATTTCATTGCGTATCCAATCCTAAATTATTTTCAATCTTGATCACACAATATGAGAAAACTGTCTTTATTGTCGCTTTCACATCTTGCTTCACGCTCATTTTTACACCAAGTAATTGTTTTCAATAACGTAACGTTTGATTAATTAAAAATTTCATTAGTCATCACAATTAAATGATAATTGACTAAGGGGTTGATTATTATATTAATAATATATATAGTCAACAGATAAATCACTTTGACATAAAATTAGGAACACTTCGAAGTCAAGGTCAGAACTTTCAAATTAAATGGTCCGTTCTTTCAGATGGCGAAATGGTCTTTAAAAAAAATAACAGAAAATATAGAGAAAAAAACGATTTAAATGGAAATACTCGTCAAATTATACGCTTTGTTTAATTTATAGCCATAATTTAGAATTGACTTCCGCTTATTTTCATTATTCTGTACATTTATTATATTAGCATTAATTTTGATTGGCTATTATTTAACTTAATTCAATTAAGATCTGAGAGAATTGGCTATTTGGCTGCAGCTTTCAATGAGTATTCTACTTCTAGGTGTTAAAATAACAACAGGTCTACCTACGTTTTGGCAATGTATCAAATGCGGTGGAGTGCAGAGTGCTAACAATCCATACACTACTTTCTTAATCATCGGTTTCATTTCTTACGACTTATTTATAAATTTATCTAAAAGAAACATCTTTGACGATTAATTATAGAAGAGACAGTGTATTAAAAAAAATTAATTATTATTTTATTTATAAAAAAATTGAAGGTTATTCCGTTGTTTCAACTTAAAAATCCTTTAGCCGATAGGAGTAAGATTTGTCAAACACCAAAATAAATTTAAGTCAGGTGTCTACTAAATCTTCAATGAGGATTCTATGAATAATAACTTTTAATAAATAATTTAATATTAAAAACTATTAAAAACTTAAACTGCGGCAAAAATAAATAAACGGATGAACAAGTTATTGCAAAATCATTAATGCTTATTCATTTGAAGGATCGAGTAGATTATGGAGATAAGTAACATTTTTCAGGACCTAAAAAAAATAACCACAAATCACATTTATCCACCTTTAAGGTTTCTTTAATAATTCGTAGTTTCAGTATTGATAAACATTTCTTTTTTATTTAATTTACAGCAGCAGCGATTCACCTAAAATTCGTCCAGGTGCTTCAGTCTCTTCGTCGGCATCGTCTTCGCCAACTGAACGCCCTCCGGCCGGATCTCCTTCACAGCTGTGTGCAGTCTGTGGCGACACGGCAGCCTGCCAACACTATGGCGTCAGGACGTGTGAGGGATGCAAAGGTAAGCCACCCTCAGGACCTTTGAACGAGCACCTGAAGTAACCAATTGTTAAAAGGAAAATCTAATACCTAATCGTCATCCCTAGGTTTCTTCAAAAGGACCGTCCAAAAGGGGAGTAAGTACGTCTGCCTAGCAGAGAAATCTTGCCCAGTGGATAAGAGGCGCAGGAACAGGTGCCAGTTCTGCAGGTTCCAGAAGTGCTTGAGCGTCGGGATGGTGAAAGAAGTGGTAAGGACAGACTCCCTAAAAGGCAGGAGGGGTAGGCTACCATCGAAACCAAAGTCACCTCAGGAGTCACCACCATCGCCTCCTGTATCCCTCATCACGGCGCTTGTCAGGGCACACCTGGATACGAGTCCGGATCTTGCCAACCTAGACTATTCACAGGTTGGTTCCATACTTTAGCAAATGGTATCACTTTCTTAGAAAAGGTATACGGTCTTTAAATTCGAAAAAATGGCAATTAACAAAAAGAAAACAACCCTATTTCCAGGACCTAAAAAAGAAAAACAGAAGCTAACGTCGGACATTTTGTTAGATCTTGATCTCCTCGCTACCGGAAGTAGTTAGAAGGTAGTGGGGGTCGCACATTTGCAATTGGTTTTCTCTGTGCTGTTCACCAAAACAAAATGGAGATCATATAGCTTCTAGTAATTAGATAACTTTCGTTTGTGTTTTTGACTTTAATGTCAAATAATTTTGATACAGAAGCTAAACAAAGAAGATTGAGTATTATTGCAATGTTGATTTCTTTAATTCATTGTTTCTTTACAATAAAAAAAAATCTACTTAAGCCTTAGAGCAATAATAACCTGCATAATTTGCATGTTTTATATAAATTTGATGTTTCATCAATGATGTTGTTCATTCCATCATCAAAACATTTTTCTGAAAATATGTATCATACCTCCTAATACATAATAAAAATTCTAACTTGTTCAACATTTATTAAAATAATCATGCAGAAATATAACTGAAATTGTCTTCTAAATATCATGAATACTACATTTCTGGAACGCTCTGTTTCAACTTTGTCCTTTAAGATCATTGCCAATATTTTTTACTATTTGATCTATACCTATTTTATTTACTATTATTTGGAAACGATTTGAGAACTTTTATTTATTTAGGTATACCAATGTTTTTTTTTAATAATATCTGTATGTGTTCCGAAATACTTGATCTCTTTTTTGTAATTAACTGTTATTTTATTGTTTTTCGGGATGTGTATAAAACTTTCTGATGACGAATCTGTCAACTTTATCTAAAATAATGAAAATTATATAGTTCTTGGCTTATTTAAAAAAGTTCAGAAAGAAACCAATGTTTATCTATTTAATTTGAGAATCAGAAGTATGTTAAATTTTAACTCTATCAAATCCATTTTTTTTAGCATTTAGCACGAAAAACGTGTATGATCCAGGGCGTTGTACCGGGGCTCCTCGATAAAGGGTCTCGCTTCCCATAAGAACTTGCGGGATCGTGAGCTATCTGAAATAGAATCTCATTTGGGAAATTGGAACCGAAAGTTGCTTCAGTTCCTGACTTAATTATAGCTAACCTAACGGCACGTCCATTGGTCCCATCCGGGGACTCCAAACCGGACCTATCTTCCAGACCGTTTCCTCTCTAGGTTATGGGCCACGATTTGAATTTGGGAATAATTGATTTTAATTACATGAAAATTCCTAATTTTTGTTAAAATATTTTTTTTAAATTAAGATATAATCTACATTATGTATGATACGTAGATAAAAAGTAATTTCATGGGGAAGTGACAAATGCCAATTTCATTACGTCAAACCTTACAACTACAATAAAAACAGAAAAATTGGGAGTTTTTAAAGCTCAGATGGTTTCGATAATATATTATCTTTCAAAGATTTCTACAAGGTCATCAAGACTCGGATCATAGTGGATTAATAGTTGACTGTCGTGGATATAATGAAGAGGTGTTGGTTGGGATGAGTAGTCACAAGTGAAAAAGAAAAAATAAATAAACATATACTGTGTTCTCACTAAGAGTTCCTCAGCATGAGTCGATATAGTTCCTAAGAATCTTTAGTTGGAAACCACTTAAGTGCTACAGTTAAAAATTAAAAGATAGCTATTTATTACAGTCTTCTATGAAATATAAATCTATTCAATCAGAAGGGAATAGCCTTTTATTTTGGGTCCAGCAATTCTTAAATAATCTGCTGTAATATATAAATTAAACTAAAATATTCATAAATTCTCTTCTTGTATGTAATAACATACATGGTTCTACAGCTAATTATCAATCACACTCATAAATGACTTGATTACATATATTTTTTTTATTTTTAGTTACGCAAGCAGTTAATTATAATTAAATAAGGAAAAATGTTATTTATATGAATACAGTTCTAATTTTTAATATATTCCTTTTAAATGGATTTTTCATTTTTTTTTTTTTTTTTTTTAACAATTTAATTGACATACCCATGAAAAGTGAATTACACATAGAAAAGTAATACTCATTTCGACCCATGATGGCATAAAAGGAAAACATATATAGTAATTAATTTACGTACATTAATCTCAACAAATAACAAATAGAAGAAAATAAATTAATAATTATATTTATCTCTGTATCAGATTGATTGATTAAAAATAAAATAAGAAATTAATTCATATAATTACAGGCGTGGTCCTCACTCAATACAATGAACGTAGGGATTTAATTGCCAATGATACTAATCATACAAAGAGTTCCGGTTCAAGATACACTTGAGCTCACTGTATCAAGGTCTGCCGAAACCCGGCTCCTCCCACAGGACCAGAAAATAACCTCGACAAAGAATGATAAATAAATACAATAAAAGTAATACGATGCCATATAAATATAAATATAGTATAAAATAGTACCATAAAATAATGATTTGGTAGCTTTTCCACAGGGATGTGTCAAATTTTATCTATAATTCATTAAATCAAAATTTATGAGTCCCAGAGTTCCAAAGGAAGAATTAAAAAACTATTGTACATTAAACTAATTATTCAAGTTGAATAATTTCATAATAAGTAGCTCCGTGAAGAAATTGGAAAAAAAAAAGTTATTTCCAACAGAATTTTGGGAATTGACAGGATAATATTGAAATACTCCTCATTTAGATGGGCGTTGCAAAAATTAGCAAGAGCGATTAACATAAATATTGCTACAAAAATATGTATATTAAAAAAAATTAAATATAATAATTTTGAGTTGGTTGCCAACAATTATAATTAGTCTGAGGCTAAACCAATTAAGAAATTTGTTTCTAAACCTTCACCACATTATTTTTTATAAAGGAAACATTTCTGATACATAAGCCCGCTCTAGGCAGGAGTATTGCGTGTGCTTTCCTTAAGCAATAGTTTATAAATTAAATTACTAATATTTTTAAAAAATACATTGTAAGCCATTTATAATGTAATATCATATACATTTACTATCAAATTATCCGTTGAATAAATAATTAAGAATAAAATCAAATCAAATGAATAAAAGAAAGTCAGAAAATAAAATTTTAAAAATTGGTAAAACATTAAATAAAATTAATAGTAGGTATAAAAATAAATATTAGAATTAAAAGATAAATGATGAAAATGAATAATAGGAAGAATATTTAATAAGGAGAAAATAAATGAGTAATACATAGAAACGAGGGTATACAAAATTATATTTAAAAAACTAAGATTAGCATTAGAAAGAAAGAAGTACAACAATAAATTAAGAGAAAAAATCAAAACGAAATGTATCCCAGATATACAAAGATGAGATTAATATCAATAAATGTCAATATAATTGAAAACAAAATAATAGACGAATTTTTAAGAAAACAAGTTCTCACTAGGCACTACATTGTACCAAAGTAACTGAGAACAATTTAGAAAACTATAATTGGTTCTATCAATATCATCATAAGCATCACAATTAAAATTATTTATTAAATTTATTAATAGTTCTAAGTGTTTTTTTTTTATTTTTTGTCAAGAGAAAATTCAAATTGATTTATATTTTATAAGTTGTAAACTTTTTTTTTTTAATGCAAACACATTGTAAATAAGTAATTTTAAAATTACAATCACCAATGGCGTACGGTCTCTGGGGGGATTTATTACTTTTTTATAAATTTTAAAAATTTATATCAAATTAATTGGTGCACGCTGGAGCGCTAGTTAATCTCAGAAACCTGTCATTCAAAAGCCTACAGACATATCAAACAATCCTTCTACTAGTTTGGAAATCGGGATCGATAAAGGAAGTGCTCCAATATGGTGGCAAAGCAGAGTAATTATGCCTAACAAAAATTAATGGTTCATGATTAATAAATTCTTGAAAACTTTAAGAAAAGACTCGAATCGGATTGAAGAATGACCCGCTAAACGTATAAATATTTGTTTGCTATAGCAGTTGCATAAAATGTTGCAAATCTCAAGCAGCACACGCGCCCTATTCTGATGCAAGAGACCATCACTCCTGCAGCTTGCCTATACTTTCCCCTCACTTCGAGTCAATGTCTTTAATACTGTTCAAAGCGTTTTCATAATATAAGAATACTTATTATTTTTTTTTTTTTTACTGTTATTTCAATAAAATTTCAATTATTATCGCTAACTATAGATGATTCATTCAGTATTTATCTGAGACGGATAAGAAATTAAATAGATCGGATCGCAGCAGACAAATTTTCTTACTTTCACGGACAAAACATTAAAGAAGGGTTTAATAGTAATGAATTATCTTACTTTCAAAGATCCTTGGTACCGCTCCGTGGTCTTATGAAATATTATTTTTCTGCAATCACGGTAATTATTAAACGAGTAATGTTAACTAGCTCAATCATCAGGCAGGCGAATTCGACATTGAAACTCTCTACCTACCTTTTTTTTCTGAGACGAATAAGTATTACTTTTAGATTTTTTTCAATAGGTTAAATATTCTACCATATCTTATATTAAAAAAAATACACACACACACACACACACATATATATATATATATATATATTATTTTCGATGCAACCATGATAGTCTTTATTGCATTTATTCATTTATAGAATGAGTCGGGAGGAGCGGTCCTAACTTCAGGAGTGGATTACAAACTGGAAAGTTATCTTTAAAAAAACCCACGTGTTATCATCCGATTTTCATTCATTTATATTTCATTGGGTAATTATAAATTGACAAAATTTCACAAAAAAAGTATTCATAATTTTATTAGCATTTCTGTTATTGAAGTCTTATTTTAATACATTTTCAAAAATACCACGGTTTGTCCATACTACCATACAAACCACTTCTAAACTTCGGCTTCACCTTCGAAGGGCGACAGTTGCCCTCCTCATTCATCCATATATTCCTTTAATGACGCCTGCAAAAAAAAGGCCAAATAATTGGACCACAGCGACCAATCCAACAATCTGGAAACCTTTCATCCAAAGGTTGCCTCAGATGACTAGCGAAATGAGGAGGAGCTCCAAATAATTAGTAGTCATGCTAAAAGTGCATCTGCATTCTGATGTTGAGTCGAACATCCTCTATTAGTCCTAGTAATTCAAATTGTAAAACATCTTGTTCGTGATCTACTGTGAGGAGATTCTCAGAGAGACAACTGTTGCACTTAGGAGACGAAGTCAAATATGTTCAGAAGTCATTGGTGGTCAAACATTTATTAAAATAAGACTTACATAACCGAAATGTTAATATAAGGATAGCATATTGTTTATTTATAATTACTTAATAAAACTTAAATAAACGTAAATCGAATAAGAAAATTTATTTTTTTATGTTTATTATTTTTCTGTGTGGAACCCACTTCTGAAGTTTTTTCCGTTCCTCCCGACAACTGTATAATAAATTCATTTTGCAAACCTCAATCATATCAATGAAATACGTTTTAAATTCATAAACCATTCCGTTTTGTTCAATAGTACCGTGAACCTTCAGATGAGGAGACCCCCATCTCTGAATCAGAAAAGACCCAACAGTTCTACAACCTGCTCACCAGTTCTGTCGACGTCATTCGCCAGTTCGCAGAGAAGATCCCGGGTTTCACCGAGTTGTGTCGAGAAGACCAAGACCTCCTATTTCAATCAGCCTCCCTAGAACTCTTCGTCCTCAGACTGGCCTACAGGTGAGCCAACATTTTATGGTATAGTTTGCTACCTCCACGGAGACACGTTGTGTATCAATAGCTTATATTTTCCAAACATTGCTCTTTTTACAGTCGTAAGTTAAACGTTATTCAGATAACACAAAGTATATCGAATTAAAAATTAATAAAAGAGTTTTTATAATTGTTATTATCATTTTCTCTTATTCATTTTTCTTCATATATATTTTACATATAACTGAGTTTCATTTAATTATTTTTATCTTTTGTTTTAACCTTTCATCTAAATATTTTAATACTATTACTATATTATTGATTAGGCGCTGATGACCTAAATGTTCTGCGCCTAAAACATCAAAACAACAAACAAGAATATAAATTCGGAGACCGTGAGGAAAATAAAATATCGGTGTATGTAATTAATATTAAGTAAACGATAATTTACACGGGAATTAAACAGTCCCTTCCTAGGATGCTAACCATCGTTACTACAACAGCTGACTCACCGACATCGAAAGTTGCGGAACCGAAGAGTTTAGCCGGCAGCTTCCTCGACTGTGAGGCTACTGCCACCCGAGAACCTGTAATTTGTGATCATTTCAATTTCGCAACAGTTAGGACCAGCTCTCGGCCCACTGTTCAACGTCCTTTTATTTCTTCTCCGAGCAACCGCAATAAATATCTCGAGGGAAGATGCGGGGTATGATGACATCGGAGGCAAGCGACTTTTGGAGAGGCGCTAATCTAACCGGTGTAAGTTACGTAACTGCCCATGTTTATACAAATATACTACGCAATAAAAAAATAAATTTTATCATAAGATGAAATAAAAGTGGTAATTTTCTTGAATAAAAATAATTCAATTTAGTAAAAACAATATGTCATAAATATAATGTTTACTTAATCGTGGTTAACAAAATAAAAAAAATTAACATGAACTCATAGAGAAAAACTTATGGAAAGGTTTGAAACCATAATATAATTTCAGAACAAATTAAAAACGAAAATAAAATTTCAATAATTTAGTTTTTAATCATTTTATCTTTCATATTTGTAAATCCCAGTACATAATTTTATTATTTAATACATTTTTTACTTATTGATCACCGATACTAAATACTAAGCAATATTTTTCGAATTAATTCTATTTTTTATAAATAAAATCTGTATTTAGGCAATTGAGTTTATTTAAACACATCCCAGATCATGGAAAAACAAGAAATGAAAGCTTTGGAACAGTTAATTGTAGTAATTTTTGCTGAAAACAGGGTACATTTACTTGACAGGATACAAAGTATCATAAAACTTCAGCTGAATCTCAAATTTTTCCCAAATAAACATCAACTTAATTAATACAAACTTGAATCTTTTTAAACGATAAAGTTTTATAAAAAAAAGTGGGGAAACTTTAGTATAGTTAGATGGGGATAAAAAAAAATTCCGCATAATTTATCATTTTCTAAAAACAGAACTTAGCTTAGTTTAGCCGTCCAAAGGTTATCTATAAACGGTTTTAACAATGTTTATTAAAAGTAAAGTTCATCTTGTTTACAATGAAGCAATTATTAATTACTTAAATTAAATATTTCTTTAGTTATTGTTTTCGATTCAATAAAAAACATAACTCACTTATAAAATCACAAAACGTGGATTTGCTACTTTTCTGCTGAAATTTGGCCCATTGTTTTTGTGAACTTTTTTGTAGCTCTTGGGATCTGCTATCACTCCTATAAAAAATTCTCTCACACTCGACGTATATTTCTAAAAATGAGTAACCTAATGAAAGCTATTAACCACATAAAAAATCATTTCAAAAATAATCCTAATATTCTCAAGTTAAAAGTAATTAAACTATAGTTGTTTTGTTTTCCACTATAGTAAAAATATTGTCCTGTACATTCGGTTTTAAAAATAAAAAAAAGGTTACAGCCCGCTGAAGTATCTAACAGTCAAATATAGAACACCCATGCTAAATGCTATTGAACTCCGATGGGGTCATCGTTGAACATACAATACGCATAACACTAGCAATTTTATGGTAATTGGAACAAGATTGAATCTAAAACACCATAATTGAAATAGATTTATCGAAACATTTGTCACAGTGGCATTCGTCAAACGTATGCAAGTTTTTAAGAAAGTGACTCATCCCCTGGAGAGAGGACAGGACACGTTAATATATTAAATATAAATTAAATTGTTCGGTTCGATCCGTTCTTCATGTGCGGTGATTGCGCAATACATGATTTACGATCAGCCCCTGTAACCATGGAATATAAATGGCTTTTGGGAAGAAACTTTCTCTGAATCCAACACACTTCTCACTATCTGATCCCCGTGTGCCCTCCGTAGGGCAACATATCAGTATCCTCTATGTCCGTCCTAGTTCCCAAATTATAGCCACTCGATACTTTATTTAGTAAAGAAATCAAACTGCACCTGTCGATAAATACTTACGACTATATTTAAACTATCAAGTATCCAGATCAAAGATTAAAAATACTTATTGGCAAAGGCAGTTAGGTCTAGATGTGTAAATCTGTCAACTCTTCTTCTACTCAACAAATCATCATCTACAAATATTTAGCTATGATTAAACGGATAATTGAACATTAAAAATACAAAAAAAAATCATAAATAGTCATCAAATGAAACGTAATAACTTCTTAATAGTTAAAGCAATATTAAAAGTTTTTGAAACGCTGTTCCGTATAACAAACTTAACACGCTTGAAAATTTAAACGTTGAAAATAAAAGTTTAAATTGAATGAAACCTAAAATAAACTGTCTAAGAAGTATGTTATAAGGATTTAAAAAATAAATAAATACATACAAATCTGATCTCCGATAATATTATTGCTGACTAAACATAATGAAGAATTGATGACAGTTCAAGACCTATAAAATAGCATATAATTTAAAGAAAAAATGATACTTAACAATTGATTATATTAGCATCGGTATGGATTGAATAATTTCTATACTATACCCATGTTCATATTTGTAATTCATAAATAGATATATTTGTATTTGTAAGCACGAATCATGCTCTGTTTCAGGACGAGACTTATGGACACGAAATTGACTTTCTGCAACGGCGTTGTCCTCAGCAGGAGTCAGTGCCAGAGGAGTCTTGGAGATTGGCTTCATTCGATCCTCGAGTTCTGTCAATCTCTTCACCAGATGGAGGTCGACATATCCTCCTTCGCCTGCCTTGCAGCTCTCACCCTAGTGACAGGTAACCCCCAGAGCAGTCATTCAAGTTGAACGAGTTAATGTTAGCCTTTCCGTTCCGATGGCTCGAGTCAGATTTAAGATATAGTTAATTGATCCCGATGAAATGATAACTAATATCCCGGTGGAAGGTGTATTTTCAATCATTGTTGCACAATCTAGTTTCAGAGCTCGATAGTTTCTGTTATAATTTAATTGTATCAGGTGAGGAATGAAATCAGTATCGATGTTGAGAATTTTTTAATATATAAAATATGTATTGGATTCGTGATGAGGATGTAACACTGTATGGTTTTGCACGTGGTATTGAGGACATAATCATCCATACTGTGCATTACTCCTCATCGGCTAATAGAAACAATGATTGGGTTTAGAAATTGAGTTCTACCAATGGGTAGTTTCTCTTCACGTTGTACATGTTATGTTACCAATTTCACATTTACTTATTGTATTTTCTATGTAATACAGTTGTAAATTCCATTAGAATAATAATAAAAAAAAGGTTTAGAAGTTTGATCGGAAGTGGTTTCGAAATTGCCTCTAAACAAAGAAGGCCATATGTTGGGATTTTAGCGTTGGCTTTACAGCTTGCCTGCTTTCGTTTTGTACCCTCTACTACATTATTCAATGGCAATCAGGTATTGGATGTTCAGTGAGCAATAGTTTCAATAATTCAGCTGTGGTTTTCTTTGCCCATTCCTCCTGTTTCGTGTTCTATCACTTTATTAGACGGGTTAACAATTCATTGGCCATCAACTTGTTTTCCTTACGTGCGCCGCTGTTTCCGCCTCATGTCCAGGTGTAATAGGTGTCATGCCACCGCAAGGCTCAAGGCTATTTTCGTTGAAAAAAAAACTATTTGAACCAACTATCGATTAATCCATCAGTCTGTTTCACTTATAATTCTGTTTTAATAATACTAAAGCAGGATTCTATCCTTTAAAACGAATAGCCCATTATTTCATCGACATCAATTAACTATATATTTAATCTTACTCGAGCCATCGGAACATAGGAAAGACTAACAAGATTATTAAAATTAAGATATGCTTTGAAAGGTGCAAGTTTGTAAATAGGAGTTGAGAATTGAAATTGAGCATTCAATTTAACTCGTATACGATGGGTTTTAGAAAGAAACATAAACTATTCGACATTTTGCGTAAATCCAATGTTAATCGGGGTTAGGTCAATGGTAAAACATTTCAAATTTATTTGCGTGAAAGCCCAAGTTGTAGACCTTTGACATAATTCGAAAATACGTTGAATAGTTTAAGTAGAAAGTTCATTATTTGGCTGAAGATGATTTCGAAATTTAAATTATTAATTTTTTATTTTATTAATTTTTCACTCGTTTCAAGTGTATTTTTGATTTATTTTAATTTACCTATAAGACAATCCCTAATTGGTATACAACATTTAAATATGAAGCAATTTGCTACGTGTATGTGAATAAGGCGGAACACAAATTATAATACAGTTGAAGTCAATTTAAGAGTTGATTTGTCTTCACAGTTTCATTTCGATCAAGTTTGAAATAAATTTGATAAAATTTTTTTTAAAAAATAATGAATAACACAAATTCTTCCACGGAAATTATTTTTTTGTATTTGAAAATTGGGCAATCATAATCGTCTATAATATAGTTCCTATAAATAAAAATGGACTAGTTAGTAGATTCTAATTGAATAGCAAGACATTTTTTCAAACCTTAATCGCATCAGGATTTTATGTGACATATAAAATAACAAAACAGTGTAAGCGTACACAAACAGAGACAACGTATTTCAAGACATGGCAAGGAATACAACGGCAAAGATAAGATTTAAATCGCTGAATAATTTCCCACATTATAAATTCTAATCTGAGAGACGCGAGAAGCGGATATAATATACAACAAAGGCAAGGGGGAGTTCCTGGATAAAAGTGGAATTCCTTGGCTGGAGCCTGTCTTTTATCGGGGGCAGGCCATTGTCAATATCATCAGGAATGAGTACTCATGGAATAGCAAATTATTATTATTATTTTCTTGATCATTGTCGACCACATCTCAGTTATATTATGATATTAACAAAAAGACTGTGCCAGAAGTTTAAAATAAATTCTGTTATTTTGTGATTATTCATCCAATGATTCATTGAATCACTAGCGGATCCAGGATTTAATTTTGGGGGGGGCTTCAGCCCGAAACCTTTTTTTTTTCATAAAAATAACGATAATTACTTTGGAAAAACATAAAGAAACTAACTACCTATATGAAGTGATGTTTAAGTTATTCCTTAAGTACTTTTAAACGTAATTACACGAACAATAATACTTTAAGAGGTATTTTTTAAATTTGTTTCCCATAAAACATGGTTATATTTTTCCATTTTGATGGGGGCTTCAGCCCCTCCCCCCCCCCCCCCCCGTAGATCCGCCCGTGCATTGAATGAAAATAAGGTTTCTCCAGTAGGATTCGATTATATATGTTATTCAAATATTAATCATGACTGTTTTCTTTATTTATTTTTTCTTAAATTAAATTCTTATTTTCAATGATTACAGAGAGGCATGGATTGAGGGAACCGCACAAAGTAGAACAACTCCAAATGAAGATAATTGGGAGCCTTCGCGACCACATGACCTATAACGCCGATGCACAGAGGAAGTCACACTACTTCTCTAGGCTGCTAGGTAAACTTCCTGAACTTCGATCCCTGAGCGTCCAAGGACTTCAGAGGATCTTTTACCTGAAATTAGAAGATTTGGTGCCAGCACCGCCACTAATAGAGAACATGTTCATGGCGAGCCTGCCCTTTTGAATGGCATACCATTCTTGTGGTTATTAAACTCTTGTAATTGATTTAATGTTTTTTTGTTATTTTAATTTTATTTTTTTATGTAAGTGTGATTCAAAATGTGCTTTTCTTTTTTCGAGAGCGATAGCACTTCTCCTCGCCCCGTCGCACGCCGGCAAGCTCTCTAAAATGTGTATATATTAGAGAATACCACCCCCCCACCCTAAATCCCCCCAACCAATACACCACATATTCTATTTATTATATCAACCAACAACAACAACAAGGTAATGAAAAATATATTTGTACTCAAATATACTTACGCCAACCGCAAAACCCCGCCGTCTTTTCAATCCTAACCAACTCACAAAATGACAACCCAAATTCATAAATCTTTCCACTCCCCCCTCCCCAACCCCGCCTGATATAAAAGCAAGAATGTCGACCCCTCTGTCCACCCCCAGCCCGAGGCCCCAGTGCACTCGGTTGCGCCCTCTCCCATGGCCCCAGTCTCCATGCCGAAACCCCCGCACGCATGCCCCCGTCCCCCCCCGTGTCGACACGATCTAGTTCACTCAACAGCGTCACTGACCCGTCACCCAACAAGCCCCGCCACTCCGACCAGCAACAACAAGTCAGAATAGCATACATTAATTCTTGAGTAAATAAGTGTTTATTATATAAAAAACACCAAAATAGGAAAAAAAGAAAAACAATACCTACTAACACCCACACTACCAGCTGATGATAGATCCTGCCATCGATTCCATGAAAACCTTCAGAATTCCAGAGTGACTAGTAATAAGAGAGACACTTCAGCCACGCATTAACCACATGATCACCTTACCCCACCGAACCGACGCTAATGCGCCCTAACGCAATGTCCGAATGCCATTCATAGCCACTCTTATATTGTAACATTAATTATTATTTATGCAGGTTTTAGTTACCATCTGTCAAAACAGTGCAATGATATCTTTAAGGTGTGAGAAAAAGAGAATTTGGATTCAGAAATGGACGAGACTGACACATGGAATTTTGAGACAAATATACACTTTGTATGAAAATATAAATGAAAAAAAAAATATACATATACATATATATATATACACATATATATATATATATATATATATATATATATATATATATATATATATATATGAATTATTATTTGTAAGCACTGATTACAATCACATCTATCGTGTATATATTAAATGTACACAACAAACAAATCAAAAGCAATTAATTGTATACCTTTATATTCTATTGTATTTTTGATATGATTTACCAAATATTATTCTTGATATGGATGAAGGCCTCAGAGGACCACACAATATTATAAAAGTTGTACAAAATGAGACATATCCCAATCTATATCAAGAAGAATGATAATTTTTAATTGATACCTTCATATGTCTATTTTAAAATGTCGAAAAGAAAAATTATTTATTCACCTTATTGTAAGATCATAACTTTGCATTTTTGCTGCCTTATTATATTTTTTCTATTAACTCAGCCTTTGTAGAGATTATTTATATATTAGAAATAAATATTTTTGGGAAAAGGAAAGCCCACAAACTCTTTTTGAATTAAGTAGTTCCTGTGAGTGCACAAAGTTTATAATTAATTATGTCAGCCTCAGTTGAAAAGGAACTGTAATGCCATAGCATAATTTAAGTTTTAAATGTTTAATTGACAGGAAGAAATGTATAACCTTTGTGAAAAAAAATCCTTTGTAAAAGATTTCATCTTATATAATACATAATCACAATTTTTTTAAATAAGTAGATTCTGTGAAAATGTACTGTTAAAGGTACTTGGTAGAATTTAATGGCTTAGTTGTAATAGATATAATGCCACAGTGTTAAAGCTACAAATTACTAGATATAATGTAAAGCACTGTGCTTCCAAGCACTTTATCTTTCAAGCTCTTTGTTCCCCCTTATACCTTAGATATTATTTGTATGTAAAAATATATATTTTTCAATTCTCTCATTTACACAAACTTTTATTTAAACCCAATTTTACAAGCATAGATAATAAAGATAAATATAAATAATAAATATGAAAAGAGCCAAGTTTAGGGGACAAGATTATGATATTCTAATTCAACAAACATGGAATACAAATTCACTCTAGAACAAGATTATACTTATGATTTTGAAAAAAATGTATCTAGTTTTAACCAGCTTAAAAAAATTTATCCCAAAAGGGGAAGATTTTTTTATTAAATTTTTTTCTTGTAGAGGTTGTCGTTTTTCGTAATTATTTTTTGTTTTAAAATACAAATAGCCAACTTGTCATTTGTCTCTGTCATTAAATTTCTCAGAAATTTATTGTTTCTATCGGTTACTACTTTATTATAAACTTATCTACGTTCGAAGAGGAGAGTATTTGCCACATCTTAACCTCCCCTAGCTATGGCCAAGGAATTTATTATGTTTGAATAAGCATAAATAATAAAGAGAAAACCATCTAAAGGGAGTATTGTTTATTTTATTTTCAAAATCTTATTAACCTTTTAGCGATGATGAGCAGGAAGGACAGAGCAGCCTTGAGGACGGTATTATTCCACACTTCTCTGCCTCTGTAACAGAATACTTCCTAATGACCATTTTAGACTTTTTATTTACGGCATCATTCCAGTCTTTAGCTTGTTTTTTAACCTACTTAATTACATACTGCCTTATTCAAAGGCATCATTTAATGATAAAAAGCCCGACAGACTCCCAACTCACATGTTATTTATTACACTTCAAAACAAATCACATGTTATTCCACTGTCACCAGGGCACAGTCCTGTCTTGACTCTTGAGTCCACTGTCGCCTGGTCTCTGTTTAACTCTCTACCGATATATATGAATCTACCATGAATCCATTCATTAAAGGGTTCAAATTATATTTTTCAGAATCAAATGTGTGAAAAAGAATTTTTTTTTAAGTTATTTTGTTGGCACCCTAATAATTCTAAGCATTTCTTCTCCTAAAAAACGTAATCATTTAAAATAACATCTTCTTTAAAAAAAATATATAAGAAACTAAATATAATTATAATAAAGTCATAATTATGAACTAACATTGATTATTAGGTATTGTTGAAAATGTAAACAAATTTCATAAATTAATCAGTACACAAAAACCTTTTTAAAAATAATGACATTGATCTTTACAGAAAGTGATATCTCTTCCATAAAAATTTCATCAAATCATTGAAATATTTTTTTAAAAATGAACTAAATTTAATGAACATTCAAGGGATTATTTATAATAAACCATAATAATCAAAATCATAAAAAATATGTCAAGGAAATATAAGTTATTACATTGGCTGTAATCTTTGAAATAAATTTTATTTTATCGAGATTTTCTAGAAAAATTCATCGATGTTTTTATAACATTAAATACAAAGATTAATAATAATGTAAAGATAAAAATATTGAATAAACATAAAAACAAGTCAAATTACTTTAAGTATTAACATTAGTTTATTTACAATTACAAATTTCCTATTCTTTCCAAAGATTTCATCAACAGTTTCTATGTCGATAGGTGTGGACATCAAAATAAAAATATTAAATGAAAGAAAAAAAAACTTTTAAATTATCATTGAAAAATAAAATGTTGTCACTATCTAAAACCACTTTGCTTTAAAACAGAGGAAATCAAGAAAAACTGCTTCAAAAAAAAAGATTTTTGACTTTCTGTTTTTCATATATAAAAACCAGAGGCAGGCTATTATTGGGGGGTTGGGTACTAATGTAATAACAAGTCATTATTGTTATTACTTATTATTATTATTGTTGTCATTATTTAAATCTCAGTTATATTATAATTTTTACAAACTTTGAGCCAGAAGTTTAAAAAAAATTGGAACTATATACATAAGAAATCCAAAAAGTGATTGCAAGGCTGTCTCCTTCCCTATTGATTATAGTAAGCTCATATCCGCTAGTAAATGTTATAATTGGGTTAAATGCATATTTAAAGAGTAGAGTTGCATCAAGAGCTACAAATATCAACAAAAGACTAATAAAACTGGTACTTAAATATTCTGTGAAATGCTGGGCAATAACTATGAACTGCCAACTGTAGAAGATATCTGAAGATACATAGGCCATTGAAATTCAGAACTAGAAAGCAGTTACATAAAATGGATATTTCATTCCTTCCAAGGAGGATTTATTATGATGAGCATGGGGAGGATGTCCATCCCCAACAAGGTCAATGGCTCATAAATAACCCCTCTCATCGCCATCTCCAAAAATTTTACTGCTCTCCTATTTTTAAAGACAGTGCTAGCGAAAGCATAATTACAAAAATTGTAGATCATAAACAATTACAGTAGCTGTATCTGTCCTATGTTTTCCCCTAGTTCTCTATTTTGAAACTTTTCAATTGGAAAATTCATAACTCCATCAAAATGTGCTCCCCTCAAAAGTTCAAAACTCTGTCAAAATGTGACCTCCTCAAAAACTTTGGTAGCACAATTTCCCCCTCCCCCTTTTGGTTATCCCTGATAATGAGAAGAAACAAATCCTCATCATAATCCTTGAAAAAAAAAATCGTTCATCTATTTTCCATTTTAAATCAAAGATTTTTTTGCAAAGAAAAAAATATAGAATAATGTGTGATACTATGTACATTTAAGAAAAAAATGATTTTTCTAATAACTCAAATCATTTCAATTAGAAGGAATTTAACTTCAATTTTTAAGAATTACTTAGCAAATTTATTGATAAGTTTTTTTAATTTTTTTTATTTATCCATAACATTAATATTTAAATGTGATAGATAGTCAGGACGTAGACATTTTAAGATTTTTATTGCTAGTGACTGCATCTGACTATTTATCATTAATGATGTAGAATAGTCAACTAACTTCCTTCAATAATTAATATTAAAAATGACAACAATCAAAAAACTTAATAGAAGCCCTTAAGGTAGATCATGCTAAAGCCTTGTAAGATATGCCTACCAAGTAAAATATTTCGATTTGTTTTACAGTTTTTCATTTGGGTAAACTAATTAGTGATTTTATTTTTATTTCAGTAACAGAATGTTGTAAGTGTATTAAAAGGATCTGTCTTAAGTTATTTATT